TAACACTTGTTAACTTGTCTTCAGCTTCAGGATTCTGGCACTGCAGGACTAGAGCTGTGCACCAGCAGTCTATGCAGCTGACAGGAGAGAAAAAACAGCAAACAGTAAACTCAAATGGAAGTCTTTCGAATACAATGGGCTGCTACCTGTGGTAAAATAACTTCCTCATTCACCCAAAGGACATGCACAGCTACTAGAGACGCAGCAAAAAGGCAATTCTGATACACTCTACATCACAGCTCTGTATATAAAAGGCCATGCTAATAAACAACCAACAACAGTGACATCACCCATCATAGTAAACAAAAAGACCTAGTGAGCCAGAAACTGTAGAACACTGGCAGAACAATTAGAGTTAACCATCGCTGTTATCTTGCCGAATGCTGAGCTGTGCTGCCTCTGCGCTTCAGGAACCAGGAGGAATGATGGGAAGGCGGCAATGCCACAGTGTTGTGTGCTGGCCCATAGGGGCCCCTACAATTTTCTCCACCCAACTTGGAAACCCAAACGTACCCAAACGTGCTTACGCTAGCCAATATTTCAGTTCTAAAAATACATTTTAGTAAGAATAAAATGGAGCAGTAACCATCTTCCTCTACTGTAAAGTTATTGCTAAGATTTGAAATCCTAGTATACTTTTACAATGGGTTCTCCTCATAATATCCCAAGAAATCTCAAACCTAAATGGAAAATGAGACACCACCCTCATAACAAATAGCACTTACAACTGAACTGCTCTAAGGAGAAAGACTTCATACAGAAGGGTTTTAGATAATAGTATGTTTGTAATGGTTTTGGACCGCAGAAAAGGTGTCCTGTTGGGGATAGAAGTGGGAACACTACTCCTAAATAGGGTTAAAGATTGCAAGGCAGGTGAGGTCGTCTCTGATGATATTGGAATTTACTCAAGCGATTACCAGAGGCATGAAATTGTGATGAACTGATCATGGCAAATAAGTGTTCTACAAATCAGCCCACCAGCTCAGCCATCAAAGCCTGAAAAGAGGAGGCAATGTGCTCGTGACCAACTTGATCCACGACACAAAGTTTTTTTGTTCAAAAAGCAAACGAAAGCAACGTTTCGGAGCCCTGTAATCAGGAACCCAGAGCCCTAACCTTATCACAACCCTAAGCTCAGGAACAACCCAGGAAAATGCTTCAATTGCACTACATCTGGAGGGTGTTTTCACTAAACAAAATGACACAGTTGTCCTGAGTATTTCTGAAATGGCAAGATCAGATGAAAGCTGGCTTGATGCATATTCTCCACTTCGCACAACTGTGCACGGCAGCAAATGGAAAAAGCCCGGAGTGCGCAAGGCGTGCACATTTTGCTACAGCTTTAATTAGCAAAAAGCTACCCCTTTCAGCTTCCATTAAGCATGCCTTTTAAAGCAGGGCTTCATTGATGAACCATGTCATCCGCCTTATATAGATCTACTGCAGACAACCAAAAAAAAAACAACGATAATGGATCCAAATCTGCAGAACAGTGCAGGGATATTGGGTCTGTTTCCCCTGTGCATAGCCATTAGAGACTTTAATTGGTTAAAAGATCCATGTTAGCAGACCCACAAGCCAGCATAAGAGATAATTGATTTTTAATGCAGTGATAATGGTAAGAAGAACCTCTCCTGGGAAAGGTCAGAAGAATGAGGCTTGAACACTGACAGACCAGCACCGTCACTCCCAACCAACTTTGCTGCTGTCGTTGTCATCACTGGGCTACATGAGACCACACCACTGTGCTTCAAGGAGCAGTCCTCAATGTATAATACAAAATAAAAACAGAACAGTCCTAATTAAGGAACAAGTAAAGGTTTATTCTTACTGAAAAGAGAAGAAAGGAAACGTAACGTTTCAGCTGTGGAGCCTTCTTCGGGTATGACACATGGAATAAACCATTACTTGTTCCTTTGAAGCCTACACATGCTGACGCAGCTACCTACTTGAACTACAGTCCTAATTTATGTCATTTATTTCCCTTCATGGCACTTACAGTGTTGCGATATAAAAAACAAGTCGAGGAGGTACAGTAGGTTTTCACAGTGAGTCAATAAGTCACAATCTAGGGCCTCACGGGACAAGGCACTCTCGGACACACAGAATTACACTTGAAAGAGAGTATAACTCGGATTTTCACATGAACATCGTTTACTGAATCACAGTCCTGAAATGAAAGAACAATATTAGGTGCACAAAAATTCTGCAGGCAAACTGAACATTTATAGTGTTCTGACGTTCTGAAGGGGCTCTGAAGAAACAGTCAAGCAGACGCAAGCACGCTGCCAGCTCCCCCATTTTCACAAACAGGGATAAGTGCTGAAATGCCATTTTCCTCCATTTCTTTCTGGCATTCCTTTAAACTTCATCCTGAAGTTTCAGGGAAAGGGCTACCAATACCTGCTTTGTAGGACACCGTACTGATGTCACCATTAGTCGTTCACTGGTGGTCACTTCTCTCACTAGAAGACATGCATGTATATTAAAAACTACTATCAATCCATCCCCGTACACAGTCAAACAAAGAAAACCTAAACGAGTCTACAATATGTAATGTCATAAACTATGACCTAGTTTGCTGACTTTTAGTCCCACTAAAGAAAGCCTGATGTCATTTAGTTGGAAGCATGTCTGACTAACAGATGTCCACAATTGCTTTATTGGACAATCTTATGTACATCTGATGGCCTACAGCCAACAAACAACAGATATCCAGCTTGCTTCCTAAAGCTCCTGGGCATACATACAGTATATCAATAGAGCATGCACATGAACATGCCACTTAGCCAAGCCTGACTACATTCACAACAATGCACGACTCAACACCAGATGAGATCTGGATATCCGTGGGCTGGTATAGACTATTCTTTTAGATGTTTCTTTCTGTTTCAATGATAGGAGGTTCTTGGCCAAAGTCTACCATCAATGAGCATGTTTGTTAATTAGTCGCTACAATATGGGGTTTCAACAATATGGCTGGTTACTTGCTCCCCACACCCACTCTGTGTGAAAAGGGGACATTTTTACTGCTCATTCTGAAAAGAACCACTGCTGACTTTCAAGATTGAAATTATTTTTAAAGGAATAATTTTACAGGATTTTGAGCCCTTGGGATCAGGTTCTCCTTGAGCCTTTTCTCCAAAGGTTCAGCTCCTTCAGGTTGTCACTTAGGCCAGGACAGTCTGGTTGATCTTCTCTGGACTCCAGGACAGCAATATTATCTGGTATTGTGGTGACCAAACTGTACACAATTCTCCAATTTTAACATAACATCCTATGATTTAAATTTTACACTTTTAAATACATAGCCAAAATTTCTGTTGGCCATTTATTGCTTCCCCACATTGTGTAGAAGATGTAAATGATGTGTTTCTGAGCAGTGGATGTCCTCAGAGCAGCTCTCTACCTGTGACAGGTTACAGCACCACTCAGCAACCCAAACTGCTACAACTTCACAATGACAAACCACCACCTCAGCCCAGCAGCAGTGTTTGTAAATTGCATCACCCTTCACTAGAACGAAAACTAGATTAATTCTAAAGATTCTTACATTTACAGGGCTACCTCACTGATCAATGACACCAACACAATGTTCTAGACTCATTTCATGCTTTTTTTTTTTGCTGTGTGATTTTTGTGGAGTTACCAGACATTCTGGTAGGTTGGCCTATGTGCGAGTGCGTGCTCGGTGATGGAATGACATCCCGTCCAGGGTGTACCCCGCCTAGAGCCTGTTGCTTGCTGGGAGAGGCTCCGGTTCTGCTGTGTCCCTGAACTGGATAAAGAAGTTAGAAAATGGCAATTAAAGACAGGTGCTCCATCTTCAGCACAGAGCTGATACCCATTCAGAAGCAGTTTCTTTGGGCCCTTTCAGGCACAGTAACATTTCACAGTCGCCACCCTGAACGTCAATACTTTGGCACATGGAGACTCATTTTCAAGATTAACTCATCTCATTGTTGACACAGACGAAGAGTGTAAGGACAGGCTTGTTTCAATGTGCTCTGAGGGAAAGGAAACGCATTACTGTGTTTATATTTCCCTGCAGAAACTCAAAGTGAGCAAATGCTCAATCAGTTCCGCAGTTCTGATGACTAAATCTGGGTCTGCATCGGAAAGCCTTGCTTTTTTCCCTGCTACCTGAAAACGCTTGGGTGATTAGAAGCGAGATCAATTTATCAGCCTGTCTTTTGCAGAGTGACAAGCAGCTAGACTTGTTCAGCAGCAAACTGCTTGACAAGGAAGACCGTGGGTTAAGCCGATATGAGCACATGTTCAGTTGACATTTTTTTACTGCTGCTCTATTGAAGGTCACTGTGATTTTAAAGGTTGCCTTGCCCAGCAGGTTCACAGCAACCACGCAATCCAGCTCTCATCAAGGTGTGAACAGAAACAACATACCTCCGCTTCAAGTTACGATAACAAGAGGCTGATGAGTGCAATTACTGTTGAGGGCAAAGAGACCTTGTCCAACCAGCCACCCATTTACTAACCGCTTATTCCAATCCAGGATCACAAATCAGCAGCAGTTTATCCCAGCTTGTAATGGGTGCAGGGCAGGATACACCCTGGATGGGACGCCAGTCCATCACAGGACACACACAGATGTACACACAGTCACACCAGGGTCAGTTTTCCCTGAAGCCAATTAACCTACCTGTATGTTTTTTGGACTGTGGGAGGAAACTAACACGAACACAGGAAGAAAAACATACTCCGTGCAGATAGAATGCCAGATCCAGAATTGAACCCTTCAACTTAAACCTGGATTCTTTATATATTGATTTTAAAGCCTTGAGCAAAGAGTAATAAATAAATAATAAATTTTACCATGAACTCTTCCATAGATCCCCTGAAGAATTTGGTGCAAATTTTGTTATAAAGCAAAATTAAGGGCACTATGTATGAATAAAGGAGATCCTAAAAAGACTGGAAGACATCAGTATATCTGCATATTGGAAGTGTGTGGCCTACACAAATATTGCAGAGTAACTCACTTCCCTTTGCCTTGAGTATTCCCTTCGCTGGTGACGTAGTCCCATCAGACGCTCATCTGAAAACACACAGGCATAGTCCCATGTTCCTCCCAGTGTCTCTCCCTGCTCAGGACAGCTGGCAGGCACCAAACAAACTTCAAACAAGTGATTCAGTTCGCAAACGGAAATACAGACACAAAAAGAGCCTAAGGCTTTGAACAAACCAAAACACTAAAATGAAATGTCTTAATCTCAGGCGGAACACAAGCTCCAGTCCTGGGCCTGGAGAGCTGCACACCTGCTAGATGTGGTTCCAGCCCTGCTCTCAGTTACACAATTGAGCCCTTGAATCAGGAGCATTAATTTGAACTGTTGGACTGTTTTCAGCTCTAAAAAATGTTTGAGATGGCCTTTTTGCTCTTAATTTCATAAGCAACATAAAATACCAAACTTTTTAGGAGAAAAAAAACTTGTATAGACTTTGATCAGGCGATTTGTTAGTTTAGCTAATGCTTCAATGAAGTCATCAAGCTTGGCTGAAATAAAAATCAGGAATGGGAAATTAAACCACAGTTCTTCGGGGGCACGGCAATAAATAACACATGTGTCTTTAAACCTGTGTCAGAACAAGAACTTCCTTCAAATACAATGAACCAGAGACTGTCACTCTCTATTTCATAGACACAATTAAGAATAGTTATTGTAAAATCTGTTAATGTGAGTTACTTCAAGGCTCTTATCTTACATTTCTATTGATTCTTCTGGTCACCAGTCTTGTCAATAAGCTTTAGTTACATCTCTGCAGCATTCCTGAGACAAAAAAATGATTTGTATACTGGAAAGATAAAAGGTTTAAGGTTAGCCAAACCATTATCAATTATTTTACTGTAGGGTGTCCAGTTTTTCAAGTATAAAGAAAAGTGAATCCCCAGAATCCTACACATCAGATGGTACTGGATGTTATCAAAAAAACTGCAAAACCCAGGGGCTGCTTGCATTTGTACCATTTGCTTGGCCGAAACAGAACTTCATAAAACATGAACCAGATGAGGAAACTATGAGATAATGCACTTAAAGAAGAGGAGGCACATTTTTACACAAAGGGTTGCCTGAGCATGGAACAAGCTGCCCTCTGATGGAGATGAAGCTGACACCCTGGCTTTTTTAAGGAATAGCTGAATGGGAACCTCATATCATTTAGCTCTTGGCACCCACAAGAGCAAATGGGCTTCCCGTCCCGTTTCAGTTTTGTACTCAAAACAATGGGGCCCATTATTACCGAACTATTTTTGCCATTGAGGTGCATGTCCACGTCCCATCTGGAGCGCTCAGAGCACACTGCACCCAAACTTGTCAGGAGTTTGAGTCCCTTTCTGTCGGCTACCTTCGGTTCCCAGGATATCGCGACGGTCAATTTACAAAGCGCTGAGGAATAATCCTGAAAGTTCTTTGTGAATATTAATCATTTATTATTAAATAAAAGTCGATAATTTATTTGAGGGCGTTATGTGGCCATGCGTTATAAGGACGTCTTTCTGAAAGATCTCTACAGCACAATTTGTGTCCATCGTCGTGCAACTGGAAACCACAGGGATTATCGACCGCTTTTTTCACCCTCAACAAATTGTTAATGCGAAACTAATTTTAACTACGTTTTTTCCCCAATCCGGAAACTGTTCTTAATCATTACCTCAATAAGTGCGACTGCTCATGCTGTTCTGGCACGCTTTAAAAATGAGGTTTGAGCCTTAAAACACAGCACAATACTGTGCATTAAGCCAATACACTGGCTTTTACCAGGGTGATGTCAGATGTGTGTCTTATCATAGCACGTTTCTTTATGCAAGAGAAAGGAACTTCTTTAAGGTTCCTTACTGTTAAAAAAGGAAATCCGAGTTCCAGTTTGCAATTTAAAGAACGATTTCTTACTGGTGGTGGAATACGGTAACTAAATTCAGTAAGCCTGGGACTAGTATAAACTCCAATAAAATGTGTCTAGATTTTCAAAAACACGGTGTTATCTCCGTCTTTTCCAGGACAATAATGAGGTGGATAAGTGTTAAAAAAGCTGAAGCATGCATTAATCGTCCAAGATCTTAAATAGTGTAAAATTATATATCTAGTCAGAAGAAGGATTCGCCCAGATTTATACATCGGAATGAGCTTCCGGTTCTCTGAGGAATCCACTTTGAAAAATACAATATATCGACGCGCATTCAGCTATGACATTCAGGTACCGTGTTTATATACAAGCGCTGCTATAAATCTCTGCAACAATAATCGATTTCAAACGGGTTCCCGCTTTGCTTTGTTATTAGCGCGACCAGGGAGGCGTCACTTTCGCGTTACAAATGGTTTTGTGTCAACAACGCAATAGTCTGCACCCTTTAAAGAATAAAAAATGCGAATAAAGTAAAATTATTGTTTTTTAAATATATCTGATGTTGAGTGGAGGAATGTGACTTCCGCAGTGCTACAATGAGGTTTCAGTTTTGCTGTGGCGGGCGACACCCTAGTCAGACTTGATTCACAAAGAGCCGCAGTCAAGAAGCAGCAAACTGGAAACCAGCAAATACTGTAAATGTTTCGCCGCAATTAACCACCTGAGCCCTTTCTACAAACCGTAAGAGAAAACGGGCAGCAGCATCTTTCCGAGAGCCGGTGGCTGTTTTCCCTTCGCCTCTCTGCAGCAGATCCTGCACTAAGTTTCCAGGCTCCGTGCGCTCTGCAGGTTAATGGGAGCACAGCCGAGACAGACGCTTTATCGCGTCAACAGCAGCTTGACTTCGGGAAAACCGCCGCTTTTTTGAGCCGTTTTACAACTCGCACGGTTTTGTGTGTTGCAAGAAATAGAAAAGGAAAGCTCATCTTACAAATAAAAAAACCCACCATCAGCGGGGTGAGCGATGCAAACGACGCCTTTTATACCTCGGTAGAGCTGGGCGGCTGTTTTGATTTTGGCGGATCCGCTGCTCTCCAAACGCCCGGAGAACCGCAGGGGAAAAAATACCGCGCACACGCATCAATGAATAATGTTTATCTGAAGCTTCGTTAGCTGCGAGCAGATAATGATTACAAAAGCTGAGAAAGCGGCACGATATTTGCTTACCAACAAAAAACCCGCTCTCCCGAGCGGTGGGAGCAGTGCAGACCTCTCAGAGACAGCGCAGTCCAGCGCACAAACTCGCGATCCTCCGGCCGGAGCACGGCTGACCGGTGTGCTTCTCTCTCCGCGCCGACCCGGCCGCTGCTGCTGTCCGCCGCCTGTGCTGGCAATGCCCGCCGCCGCCAGGCGCTCTCCCGCTGCTCCGGGGAAGGGCTCCGCCGCTGCCGAGCAATGTGCCGAGTGCGCACGGCGCCGCCGCCCAGCCCAGCCCGCTCATCAATCACGCCTCCTGCGCTCCGCGGGCGGGCTGCTCGCCGTGCCGGGCGGGGAGCGGGGCGGGGCGGGAGACGAGGGGAGGCGGGGCCGGCTCTCGGGGCGGCCCCGGGGACAGCAGCAGTGCCGGGTTTAAAGCCCTCACGCCACATGTCGGGTCCCCGGTCCAGTTCAGTCCGCGACTAAAGCAGCTTCTGCGAGCTGACATATCCAGCAGGCAAAGGAAAGCAGGAGGAGGGTACAGTTTTGGAGAGCTTACGCTTTTTTATAGTTCATCCCTTAACATGCATGTCAGATAAACACTGACGGGAGCAGCAGTCGCGTTAAATAATATACTGTTATATATCGCGTTAACTGTTGTGTACAATATGTGCATGTATTTAGGTAATATGATTTAGTCAATGTTTAAATAAGTATTGTTTACGATTTGCAATTGCGTGTCAAACACTTATCAGCTTTAAAACAAGACTTTCCTGTTTACGAGCATAAAAATTACAAGAGTTCCTTTTTGCTTGCCTGGGTGCGAGAAATGTAATGATCTTTTTTCAGCTCCGTGAAGATGCCCCCCTACAGACAGCGCAAAACGATTAAACCCACCTCATTTGTTAGTGCTATTTGTTTATATGCGTTTATGCCGGTTTGTGCCCTTGAAAGTAGCATTTGTGCTGCTTTCGTTCCCGAGATATAGCGCCTTGTTTTTCTGGTGATCATGTGACCATACAGTGACCCCCCTTCTGCCGACTTCAAGCGCCCTGTTACGGTTTAGCTCGTTTCCTTAACATTTTAAAGGCGATCAGCATCCATAAACATATGAGCCTCCTTTGATGTGAAAAATACCCATTATTCCCTGTATAGTAATGTACGTAAAATCACCGTGATTGTAAGATCTATGGGGAGGGGGGGTTTATAAGGCACGTCTTTCTTTTCTTTCCCTACCATGACACGCTCTTGCCAAACACGTAACTGTGGGATACCATCGCGACAGGTCATACCAGGCCGCAGCATGTCATGACAGGGACCCCATGTATATCGCATGTATATCGCGGCAGCGTATATCACGACTGGCGCCTTGCTTCCATGCCACCCTGATACCGCTGTCACATCAAAGGTCTCATATCAGGACATGATATACCCAGATAGGTTGTGTTGCGACAGCATAGGGCCTTTCATGTCGCAACATGGGGCGGGGCATTTTTGCCGGGGTATGTTATAGCGATATGCGGGCTACATGTCGCGACATGGGGGCGTGCGTTTTGTTGGGGTATGTCATATGCGCTGTGGCGCTTCACCCAATCAGAGTGTCGATTCTCACTCTTCACCCAATCGCGGCCCGAGCTGTTCGGGGGTTTAGCCAATCACGGGTCTGAGAGCTGTTCAAGCCAGCAGCGCCGGGTGGATCGGCTTGTTACTGTCAATGCGAATCTGTTTTTAAAATGCTTTACTTATTTGCAAAATAACTACATTGGCTTATTTTTTAACGTCTTTATTGATTCACAATGTCCCCAACTCTTAGAAATAAATACATTTGTTATTTGCAATATAACTGTCTCCGCTGCTTCCTGTAATTAATACATGGTATTTGAACAATTTTATTCTTATATTTAAGGTGGGGGAAACACCTGCTTCTTTGTACTTCAAAAATGAATAGAAATGTAAAATCTACGATCATTATATTATTATACTTGTGCTTTCAATTTTGTTTTTATTTTTTAAAATTATATCGATCTTGAAACTAATTCCTAAAAATGTGAATATGGGCTCTCATGCTGTACCAGCGGTAATTTGGAAACTGGTGGAGTACACAAGCAATACATTTTCGAGAACTTGGTTAAAAATTAAAAGAAAACACCTAACCCAATGAACTAACATAGTAACTCCCCTCTAAATGTAAGACTGTTTATTCGTGTAAAGGCTGCAAAGTCTGTGGTCAACTGATCAAAAGATCACAACTGAAGGATCTGGTGGACGTGACTTTGGTGTTTTGTACGTCACGGAATTACTTCACAGCCAGGAAAAGAAGGCGCTGTATTGAAATATATTGAAACATCCACCCCACCCGACCAGACAGACTAAGGAAAAAAATTGCCCCCATTGTTTTAATCACAATCAGAAGTTCAAGTACTGATATTGTTGGTACCTGTAAATTTCCTTGTAGATAGTCACGAAAAACAAGGCGCTATATCTCGGAAACGAAAGCAGCACAAACGCTACTTACAGCGACACAAAACGGCACAAACGCAGCACTAACGAATGAGGTAGGTTTAATCGTTTGTGCTGTCTGTAGGGGGGGGCAGCTTCACGGAGCTTCTCCAGGCTCCAGGAGTCCAGTATTTCCTGCTTTCTGTTCTTCTTTGTGTCCCAGTATCTCATATTAGTGTTCAAAGATTATAGTTTACATTACTGCCATTTAGTTAGCCTGAGATCGAAGATCGTTTTGCGTATCCTTAGCTTGGGCAGGATGAACGGGCTGAGTTTAAAACTACAACTCCCAGGATGCATTAGGCACTCCCCTCTGTCTCCAGGAAGTCCTTTCCGCGTTGCTAACCAAACTATGTGTGTTTAACATGTATGTGTACGCACATCTTTTAAGGCTGAACTGATACCTGAATAAAATGCATTCGCCTTAATTCGCTTGTACAAGGTAAGATTTATTTTATTTATACAAAGGAATAGATTCCATCTGTTGGTGGATTACTGTTAACATTAATAAACTTGTAACATACACATAGTCCCCGCCAGCAAACAGTACACTGTTTATTAATCGCCTTAAATTGATCATTAAGAGTTTCAAGTAATTGTACTTATATATGCAACTGTTGTGTGCGTATGTAATCACTCATGTCTCCTGGTGTGAACATTTTAGGATTCTGTGTTTTCAGATTGGCAGGTGAATTTTCAGGTGATGTGCACGTTGCGGTTTGATACGCATGCAATCACCAAGCGAGAGTGATAACTTCAGAGTACTGTGTTACCAGCACGCCGAGTCAGTCACCAGGCAGGCGTACAGAGTAGCTGACGCAAAAAGATTTTTTTAAAGTTGGATCCCCAAGTCTTATGCCCAGACTGGTTTCGCTGATGTGCATGAATGTAATTTGCTCAACATGCTGTAACCAAGGCTGTTAAGTTAAAGTGAGTCTTCCGTGCAAATCATTTTACATTTTCAAAGCATTGTTTTGGAAGTGCTATAAAAATCATTGGAGAAACCGAGTATCTAAAGGCTTTAGGCTCTCCCTTTTAAAAATAAGGAACACCAACTTAAACAATTGATAAGTTAAACACTTCTTCGGTTCAGCAATCTTCAGTTTCTTTTGTGCTGAAGGGTATTCTGATTTTTGCTTCAAGCAATCACTTAATTAATTTATTTAACAAAACACACGTTTAGTTGATCACAACTAAAACTGTTCCAGTTTAGGGAAAATGATTATTTAATGATTACCCGCACAACTTGCTGGTTTTGTGCTGTCTGTGACTGGGGTTGGAGACTCCTGCACCATACAGTGAAAAAGGATGAACTGAACTGAACTGTTTTCAAGTGACAATTCAAAGGAACATTCATCCATTTTCTCCAATTCAGGGTTGCTGGAGAGCCAGAGCCTATCCCAGCAAGCAATCGGTGCACGACAGGGTACACCCTGGATGGGACACCACAGGTCACCCACAGACAAAAACATGCACACACTCACACCAGGGTCAGTTTCCCAGAAGCCAATTAACCTACCAGTATGTCTTTGGGACTGTGAGAGGAAACCTGAGCACCTGGAGAACACCCACATGACTGTGGAGAACATGCAAACTCCACACATATAGCATCCCAGGAATTGAACACAGGGCCCCAGTGTTGGGAGGCAGCAAAGCTAACCACAACACCACTGTGACAACCCGCAGGAACATGTTTCCAGATTTTTGTAGTCTCTTTGTCCTTACGGTTTTCCTTTAGTACCATATTTCGTGCAATGAACTCTTGATGACTAAGAATGATTAATCTCAGTGTTATGTTCACAAAATGAACATATCATTTGAAGATAAAATAACTTCTCTTCTAATTTCTGTGTCTTATTGCAGAGGTAGTCACTGTCTTATGTAGATGAGTTGTTGTTTGTGTAGTGTGTAGTACAGCTGTTTTTCAGAAAGCATCTGATTTAAACATATTATTAAGCTCAATTGTTTATGTCAGTCTTTGATTATGTGTTATACTAGTATTGTCAAAACCTGGAGTATTGCATGCATATTTTTTCATGAATGAAGTCACTAATTATTTTAAGTGTAGTACATCTTTAGTTATTTCACAGTGATCCCTCTCTCTAAATTTGTTGAACATTTGTTTATCTTAGCAAGTTACACAGTAAAGTTCTAGTACATTACCTTTTTGGAGGCATGGGATGTGAAGATTTCTACAAATCTAAAAAAGTCTGTGTAGTTTCAAAAATATTTATATATTTTGCCCCAGAGTAGTTAAATTAAATCTTTTTCTCTAACTGGATGCTTCCTTAGACACACAAAGTAATGGAAAATACCACAGCTTGTGCATCAAGGTACTGAAGATTAATAGCTGCTTAAGCTCTGAGATAGCTTGAGCAGATAAGAAGTTTTGTTGTTTTTCCAAGAAAGGTGCGATGCAGTGTTCTCAGGATCCTTTTTCGGTGGTGCGGCCCAGTACTGCTCGGATCTGGGTGACAGAATTTGCCGGATCCGGCCAGCTGAACCCTAGTCCTGCAGCTTATGAAGATGCTGAGCTTCTGGTGGAGCAGTATCTTTCACAAGAGAAATTGGTAAGGATTTTACCCATTTTTTTACCATTGATTTAGAGAACTAACAAGATGCTTGATTGATGTATTTGCCGTGACTTTTAATCAGTGAAATATAACAATTAAAAGGTGACCTCAAACATGTTTGAATGCTGAAAACAGTCAATCAGGTCAATTTAATCCTAATTATTTAAGTCAATTAGGGTTTCAGTTGTAATTGGAGCTCAGCTACAACAAAAAGGAGCAGGTGTGTGTGGAGTCCAAGCAAACCCCTGCGGAGAGCAGGTCTTGTCCTACTGATCAAAAGCAGTCCTTCTTTATTCTTGTTCCAAGGATACGTGTGTGTGTGTGTCCACTGTAATCTTGCAGTTTTATCATATTTTCATTTCCTGTACTGGAGGAAAATATGGAGCAAAGCTATTGCTTGCTCTTGATGATCAAATTGAAGGAGAAGTGCTGAAATCATTGGTTAATGCCTCTGTATTAGTGCCATAGTCAGATTTTTTGAGCCTTCGAGTAACAGGATGTGTCATTAAAGAAAATATAAAAAAAAAAGTTTCCTTTATTTGTATTGATATCAGACAAGTTTAATTTGAGCTAAAACCTCCACTCCCTTTTCAGCCACGAATGGAAATCATGTGTCAACCCTGAGTAATCAGCGGGGAGGGTGCGGCTGATGCAGTTTTTCACTGATTTATGTTGTTGCTTTTTTGTTAGTTCATTTAGTTTCTAATACACTTCTCTTTCATTTTAAAATTATTTAGTCATCTTATAAATCAAAATGAGCAGTGGCTTGGTGGGCATGCCATTAACCACTTTGCTAAAATTGCTTTCTGGGGAATAAGGACAGCTGAGTACTCTGAGGGAGATCTGGCCATTTAGCTGCTGGAAGATGTGATTTATTATCAGTCCCCTGCGCTGCTCTCATAATGAGCCGTGGGCTGAAAGGCACTCTTTGTGGTGACACTTTTCAGACAAGTGAAATTCTGATGTATCGCAAGGCAAAGTCAGTTCGTTTATTTCATTTCTGAAAGAGTGAAGTACAGAAATGAAACAATCTTTGGGGCTGCAGTGCATATTTATGATGGGTGGGTAAATCATTGAGGAAAGGGCAGGTTAAGAAAGTAAAGTCAAGTGTGATTTGGTACAATAAACTGTGCTGCTTCCTGAAGACTCTCTTAGAGACTGGTGCACTTGGCCCAAAGTGTAACCGTTTACAGGGGATTTAAAACAGATTTTATTTGTTATAAAGAGGAATTTTTAAAATGTGTTTGTTGACGATGCTGCAACGTGAGCAAGTATAAAAATCAAGGATCTGTTTTTGTTTTCAGTTTTATGCATTCACCAATTGTTAAACCGCTTCATCCAGTTCATGGTCATAAGGGGGTCGGAGTCTGTTGCAGCAAGCCACGGGCTCAAGACAGGATACACCCTGGAAGGAATGCCAGTCTATCACAGGGCACACACAGACACAAACATGCACACACTCACGCCAGTTTTTCCAGAAGCCAGTTGACCTACCAGCATGTCTTTTAAATGTGGTGTGAAACCAGGGCTCTTGGAGGAAATCCACTCGAACACAGAGAAAACTTACAAATTCGATGCAGACAGCAAGGCAGTGCCACCCCCAGCTTCATTCAGTGTCAGCCAAATCAACGATAGGCCTTGGACAGCTTACTGAATGTATCTATTTGCTTTCTCATTATTACCAGAATTTCTGAAATATGAACATTGTCAATAAAAGTTTTGCATCAGGGAATACTTAGTGGCAATTTAACTGCCTTTTATTTCTTTCGGTTACAGTTCTCCCTTTACTCTGCTGCTAAAATTACCTATGTTACATTTATATTGACAATACATTATTATTGTCCTCTGTGGTACCAAAACATTCAAGACAGTAAGCTGAATTAGTACCCTTCCATCTAATAATCCCCCTCTATGAATTGGCTACATTACTCTGCTCTCCTCCCCACTGAGAGCTGATGTGTGGTGAGTGTTCTGGTGCACTATGGCTGCCGTCGCATCATTCAGGTGGATGCTGCACATTGGTGGTGGTGGTGGAGGGGAGTCCCCATTACCTGTAAAGTGCTTTGAGTGGAGTGTCCAGAAAAGAGCTATGTAAGTGTAAGCAATTATTATTATTATTAATCACTTTAGGACTTTATGATGTTTTGAAAAATGCATTTGTAAATCAATAGTGATCGATATGAAGCTGCAATTCAGTGATCAATTTGATCAATTACTGCCTTTCTGTATATGTTTCTCTACTCAGCAAGCCATAACTGGGACATCTGACCTGGAAGAAGTGAAAGTCCTTGAAATATGTGTGGACACAAGAGAAAACACCCTGGGAAACTTTGGTGAGATAGATTTATGGTGAGATAGATGTATAACTTTACTGTATATTTTGTAACTGCACAGGTCAGGTAGTGGGACTGCACAGGTCTCAAGCAAAGGTTTAAGATTTCCACAGAGCAGACTTTGAAGAAAAGCGACAGAATCTATGAGAAGCAGAATGGGACAATATAAGGAATAAGTAGAGAATTGATTACAGACATTTAAATGTATTTTCGTGAGGGCCAAAAAAAAGTCTACAAATCAGTGGCTCTGTTAGGTTAATAGATCAATTAAGAAAGAAATTAAGAAGAAAAGACATACAAGTCTCAGACATTTTATGATGCTGTTTTCAGGTTCCAGTCTTCTGCCATGCAAAGCAGCTAAAGAAAAGCTTTGTTTGTTTCCCTCAGGCATTAATGTATTGTGCTTATGCAGATGGAAAAGATTTACTGTAATGGCACGTTTGGCAGTAACCTGTTGTATTTCACAGTGATTTAGATTAGAAGGTCTTTGAAGATTGTATGGATAAATGCCAGAGGAGGCCTATTTTCATTGAGTCATTTCGTTTTTTTGGTGATAACTGGAAAATGCTCCTTGTAATTTTATAGGCACCTATTTGCCCAGCCTCATTCAGCTGAAGATGAACAACAGTTTAATTGTTTCTGTGAGGTAAGATGACTATAGATTTTTACTTTTTTTGCAAAAAGTGAAATAAATGTATTTTATGATGCATATCTGTATATAGCATAGAATTCCTTTATGCCATGTTAAATGCATGTCTTATCTTGAAGAAGAGAAAAGATAACTTGATCAGTACATGTTTTCTGAACGTATTATGGTCCAGGGCATTTCCGCATTACTTTAGTGTAGATTTTTTTTTTCAGATTGGAATCGCCACTTTACCACTATCTCTTTGCTCTTTTTAAGTTTGTGCCATTATTTCAGTGTGCTTCTACCATTTCTTCTACTTCCTTTTTCTGAGGAACAGAAATACATCACAACTACTGTTTATTGTGATGTCCAATATACTGTATCCCAGCCTCAATGTAGTCTACGTCTGCTTATTTGATCACAGTTTGTCATGTTAAAAGCCTAGTGTGATCTGCTGTGGGTTGAAATTACATTTTACCATAGGCATCCGTACATAAAGAATTCTTACAGTTTCTACCAGCAGCTGAGTCAGAGTGCTATATTACAGTATATTGGTTCGTTAAATGCTGAGTTCATACAGGAAGGGGGAGACTTACTGTCAAACGTCTTGAGTCACCGCTGAGAGAATTCTGAAACTCCATAAAAATGCTACAAGTACTGGAAAATTTGATTACAGCTCTTACCCTTTGCATTTAAATCAGAATTCAGTATATTTAAATAACAGGTAAGTGACAGTCCTTAAAAAACTATATTAATTTACTTTACATGAAATTACAGTAAAGCAGTTACATTGTTAAAAGCCCATTTTGTTGTGCCTTTGGGAATATTTCCAAAGACAAATTTGATCATGTAATAGCTGCTCTATGCTTTTGTGATTGTGTGCCAATACCTTCCAAAAAACACTTGAGTTTCTGTTTTTGCTAATAAGATTGCTGTATTAGTGTTCACTATGTTATTGTTTAAGTAAAATGGGATTGGAATAACATTTCTTAAAAGTCTGCCTCTGGTCAGTTGTAATAGACCAAACCTATGTTCTTGATGTCTTTCTGACAAGTGACGAACTTCATAAGAATAGGTCAATAAATATATTTTTAGAGTTTTTTTTAGCACAGTCAGTGCTATTTCACACTCTGTATATTACCATTACTTTGCTGTTTCCTCAAGGTGTTCTAATAGTCAAACTTTGTAGCCAACGGATAATTCTTGCTATTTTCTAGGAAAACGATGGTTCTTGCCTACCTGACAATGATGATTACAGTACTTGTCAATGTCTTGTTCTTTTTTCATTGATGTGTCAAGTATGCCTAAAAGCTACAGTATGTGCTAGAAATGGGTTAGCTTATGAACTGCAGGTTAGAATAAATTCCTTTGTCTTTTGTAATACAGAGACTATTGAAAGCCCTTGTACAGTTAATTCTATGACAGGGAAATATATACAAAATACTGTGACTTGAGTTTTGTCACTGTACGTTTTCTACAGTGCAAACGTATGTGAAGAACTGTAGAAATACCTTTATTTAATTACAGATATTTCAGAATTTTGACAAACAGCCTTACGGTCCTAGACAGTGCAGGAGATCTTATCTGGAAAACCAGAAGTTGGGAAATGCATACACCTGGTTTCTTTCAAAAACTAGAATAACAGCCTGCAATCTGTGATTCTGTTCAAGACCAGACACATTCTGTGTGGCAGTAAAATTTGTAATTATCAACAAAGCTGTTATGTTCCATTAAGATTCTTAGAGTATTTATTGTGGTTTCTGTTTTAGAGAATGTTGATGATGTGAATACTGTAAGACATCCGGGCTGAAGCTGTCACCCTTTGTTAGAGAATGGACTCAGAAACTATGAAGTGTTGCTCGTTGCAGATGTTACACAGGTGTACAGTACATGTACATGGATGAGCAGAGACATGTACTGTAATATTTCTAGAAACTGAAGATCAGTGAGATGCAAAAACAACTATACTGGCAGTTAGTCACACAATAATCATACATCAGATCAATGTGTGTATTGTTGATTGTATGAAGATGGGCCATAAAGCTTGCAATTCTCCTGTGAATTGTTAAGCTGTTGTTTTGATAATGTCAGCATTATCACAATTATTGTGCTTTCCTCTGGTGAAAGTTAGACTGTTTTTCGTTTGTTTTTCAGTTATACAGGCAGATATTGATTGAAATAGAGATAATCATTTTATTTGATACAAAAAGCTTAATATAACTTTATTGAACTAAAATAACTTTACTCCCAGCCCAGCTGTTGGCAGGTTATATGTGCACTTGTCACCCCGGCGTCCTGGCCAAATTTCCGATCGGCCTTTATCAATCATGGCCTCTAAACAATCCCCCTCTATGAATTGGCTTCATTACTCTGCTCTCCTCCCCACTAATAGCTGATGTGTGGTGAGCGTTCTGGCGCACTATGGCTGCCGTCGCATCATCCAGGTGG